TAAATGCTAGAGTTTTCAAATGATCTTTGATTGCTCTTGATGAAATGATGGTATGGAATATTATAGATTTATGTTTAAAGAATTATTATATTGTTTTAGACGCACGTATCCTCTGGGTTTAAAATACTCACTCCTTTAAAATTTAACTTCTCAGGTTAGATCGGTTCAACGTGGATGGTGGCTGAATGGTGCGCGGGTTACCCAATAAAGCTTTGTCAAGGGAACCATCAGTAATTTTTTTTGTTATGTTTAGAGATTTAGTATTTCGTAGATTTCTATTGAATGCTTAAAGTTTCTGATTTAATGTTTTGGATTGATTTAATTGGACGTTTTGGGGGACGCGTCAGAAAGCCGTGAGGGGTAAGATGAGATTGGGCCCTTCCAAAGCGGATAGTACGTACGATATGATAACTGTTCCGGCGCAAGGTCGGGTCTTTACAAAATTACATAAAACTCGACATTTAAGTTTTCAAATTCAAAAATCAGATCTAAAGTTTATTTAATAAAAAATCGGGTAATAATTGAATTAATAATTAAAACCCAAATGAAAACCTAATTTATTTCCAATCCCCTCTCACCCATCCCCCTCTCTCTAAACACCGTCCATTCTCTCTAAAATCCGTCCCTCGGAAGAGAATCTCCGGCGCAGAGGCGTCACCACCAGAAGATGTGAGCGTCGCGATCAGTTCGGTGCTCTGCTCTTTGTTCGGCAGCGCTCTGTTTGCCGCTGCACGCGGTGCTTAATGAGTTGCCCATCTCGAATCTGAGGAAGGAGATTGGGTGTCGTCTAGATGGTGAGGTTGCTAGTGATTTGATCCCAAAATCGCAATGGTGGTGGTTGTCAGAACGGCGAAGCTGCTGAGACACCGTCACGTTTTTTTTCGATTTGCCTTCTATCTCTTCTTTTCTCTCCCTTCTCTCTCTTCGACACTGTTGTGTTGTTTTTGTTGTTGTGGTTGTGTTGTGGCAGCGACGGCAACGAGTTTTGTTGGTGGTGTGTTGCAGGCGGCGATAGTGGTGGTTTCGCTACGAACGCAGCGTCGCGATGTTGCTGTGATGTGGTGGTGTTGGCATCGACGGGGGTGGAGGTGGTGACGGGTTTGTGGTGGTTGTAGTGTCGTGGCGATGATGTCTGTGTTGTTGAGGGGACGGGGATGGTGGTGGATCTGGTTGTGGGTTTGAGATTTTTTTGTTGGATTTGGTGGTGATAGTTTTGTTGGTAGTGGTGCTGTTGGGGTAGCACCCTCTTATGGGGTGGGCGATGGATCTGGTGGCGATGACGGGGTGGTGGTTGTTGGTGGTCGGAGATTTGGTGGTGATGATTTTTGTTGGCGGTGTCAATATCTATTGGTGGCGGCTTTGTTGGCGGTGTTGTGACAGCGGATGCGGTTGTGACTGATATTAAAATTTGACCTTAAAATTCGATAACTTGTGACTTAAAAAATAATTTGTGACCAATCATTTTGTTATCTGTGACCTAAAAAATATATAATCTGTGACCGTGAAAAAATATGCAACACCTAATTTGGAAATCTGTGACTGTGTGACCTATAAATTTTGATATGTGACCAACTAATTTTGAAATCTGTGACCAAATCAATTGTGACTTACAAAATTTTAATCACGTTTATCTCCTTCCAACTGATTCACGTGTATTATTAGATATACTCATTTTGGTTCACTGAAATCCTACTTGATTAAGACTACATTTCCTTCTTCCAATAGTAATGCTCAATTTCAATGAAACTGTCAGCCTTTGTTCACGTGTGTGTGCCCATTGAAGTCTATGACTCTATTAGATAAGTGTGATAGTTACTTACTTTTTGAAACTTTCTCTGTCAACTTTTAAATGGAACACGGCAACTCTATTTCAATTGTTTCCGAACTCCAATTATTTTCAACTACAAATACCATGCAAGAGGTCACATCAATCACCACAAAAATTATAGAACCCACAAGGTGAACATGGGGCAGAGAAATTTAGGAAGAATTTGGAATGTGAATTCTCGATTTTGTCTTTCAACATTCATAAGGTAGGATACTACGTGCAAGTGGATATATCTTTGCAACATTATAATTTCTTTTACATGATTTATTTCACGAAATGCTAATTGATCTGTGGGTCCCAATGAAATGAAATGTGAGATCTCCTTCGGGTTTTCTCAAATACTAGAGTTTTTGATTAATCTTCGATTACTCTTGTTGAAATGATGGTATGGAATGTTATAGATTTATATTTGAAGAATTATTATATTGTTTTAGAAGCACGTATCCTATTGGGTTTAAAATATTCACTCCTTTAAAATTTTAACTTCTCAGGTTAGATCGGTTCAACGTGGATTGTGGCTGAATGGTGCGCGGGTTACCCAATAAAACTTTGTCAAGGGAACCATCGGTAATATTTTTTTGTTAAGTTTAGAGATTTAGTATTTCGTAGATTTCTATTGAATGCTTAAAGTTTCTGATTTAATGTTTAGATTGATTTAATTGGACGTTTTGGGGGACGCGTCAGAAAGCCGTGAGGGGTAAGATGAGCCTGGGCCCTCCCAAAGCGGATAGTACGTACGATATGATAATTGTTCCGGCGCAAGGTCGGGTCCTTACAAATTACATAAAACTCGACATTTAAGTTTTCAAATTCAAAAATCAGATCTAAAGTTTATTTAATAAAAAATCGGGTAATAATTGAATTAATAATTAAAACCTAATTTATTTCCAATCCCCTCTCTCTAAACACCATCCCTTCTCTCTAAAATCCGTCCCTCGGAAGAGAATCTCCGGCGCAGAGGCGTCACCACCAGAAGATGTGAGCGTTGCGATCAGTTCGGTGCTCTGCTCTTTGTTCGGCGGCGCTCTATCTGCCGCTGCACGCGGTGCTTAATGAGCCGCCCATCTCGAATCTGAGGAAGGAGATTGGGTGTCGTCTAGATGGTGAGGTTGCTAGTGATTGGATCCCAAAATCGCAATGGTGGTGGTTGTCAGAACGGCGAAGCTGCTGAGACACCGTCACGTTTTTTTTCGATCTGCCTTCTATCTCTTCTTTTCTCTCCCTTCTCTCTCTTCGACATTGTCGTGTTGTTTTTGTTGTTGTGGTTGTGTTGTGGCAGCGACGACAACGAGTTTTGTTGGTGGTGTGTTGCAGGCGGCGATAGTGGTGGTTTCGCTATGAACGCAGCGTCGCGATGTTGCTGTGATGTGGTGGTGTTGGCATCGACGGGGGTGGAGGTGGTGACGGGTTTGTGGTGGTGGTAGTGTCGTGGCGATTATGTTTGTGTTGTTGAGGGGACGAGGATGGTGTTGGATCTGGTTGTGGGTTTGGGATTTTTTTGTTGGATTTGGTGGTGATAGTTTTGTTGGTAGTGGTGCTGTTGGGGTGGCACCCTCTTATGGGGTTGGCGATGGATCTGGTGGCGATGACGGGGTGGTGGTTGTTGGTGGTTGGAGATTTGGTGGTGATGATTTTTGTTGGCGGTGTCAATATCTATTGGTGGCGGCTTTGTTGGCGGTGGTGTTGTGACAGCGGATGCGGTTGTGACTGATATTAAAATTTGACCTTAAAATTCGATAACTTGTGACTTAAAAAATAATTTTTGACCGATCATTTTGTTATCTGTGACCTAAAAAATATATAATCTGTGACCGTGAAAAAATATGCAACACCTAATTTGGAAATCTGTGACTGTGTGACCTATAAATTTTGATATGTGACCAACTAATTTTGAAATCTGTGACCAAATCAATTGTGACTTACAAAATNTATTATTGTTGGAATATGCAGTTTTCCCAAGTTTCCTTTCTTTTAGCATTGCTGTGTCTTTATCTGTAAAGCAACATTTACCACTAACATCATCAAGCATACTTATGTCATTCCACTTTGGCACAAGTCCTTGAATGCTCAAGTCAGAGAATGTCATTGGAAATGTATACTTAGAAATATGAAGAGCTTAATGGCTTTCATAATAGAGTTCTTACACCAGTTTACAGATATATAGGGGACCTTGAATTCCCTATATTTGTATTTCCGGGCAGTGGTAGTAGGCTAGTAGTGCTTATGAAGGATAGCAGCGTTGTTGAGATTGTCATGACTTGAAAACTGGATCCCAGCTTTCAAAGTATCTTCTCGTGTTCCCCCCATTGATGACATGGCCAAAGCAGTTGGTCTTGACTAACTGATAAGTGCGCTTTGGCTTGAGTTCTTTGCTTGGTCTTGTTTACACTCTTTGCTGCCAAAAATCGTTTTGCCTTGTGAAGAAGGAACAAATGGTGACCTTTGGAAACTTAAAAATAGGTCATATGTTCTGTAGAATCCAAACACACTGTCCTCCTTTGTCTCATTTGTTTTTCCCACTTGAATGACACAAATTTCAAAGACAGTTCTGAGTAAAACCATCAGCATTGAGGTGTCAAGGTTTCTTGGGTTGTTTGCCATTCGAAACTGCCTGCAGGGCTGGGGTAAGTGTCATCTTAAAGAAATGTTCCATGCATGCATTCATCCACAAGTTTTCTGATTTTCTTCCCCACACAAGTTGTAAAATATCATGTTGAAACTCTTCTCTATTTTTGTCGAATCCTCCGGATCTTGAGTGTTGTTTCTTGCTGGCTTAAACTTGGAATGATAAGTAAAACTTACACATGTCCTAGCTCAGGTTATTCTTTCTTGTGATGCAGGTTTAATGAGCTTTTATTGAGCTAAACACATGCTGAGCTCAGGTTCGATTAATACATAAAAAAAAATACAATACGTATGCTCAATAAGTCAAGCTTGAGCCCAACTCAAAATATTTGAAGTGCTTAACTTGATGCTTTTCTATTTTTTGATCATATTTTAGACTTTTTAGGCAGCTCAGTGTATTAAATAATTTTCCTTCATATCAACTCTTGTATAACTAGTGTCATCGTATGTTATGGCACTATTTTTTCCATTCACAAAATCAATCTAAAATGCTGGGGCAGAGGAATCTTGCTGTTATTTTGCAAAAGTTTTAAAGCTTTAGTATAATTTAAAACAATAGCTATCATGATTTATACATGCAAATAACGCTGTTGTTTTGTCTTCACTTAAGCAGGTACTGTAATGAGCATTCTATAAGATTTATGATCATTGGTAAAGGGTCAAACTGTCTATTTGATGACGTGGGTTTTGATGGTTGTATTGTTCTCAACTGCATCGAGTCGTTGGAGACGATTGAACCTGGTTTATACAGAGTGGGAAGTGGTTATCCATTTAATCGTCTAGGGATGCAGTGTGCAACTGAAGGATTTACGGGGCTCGAATTTGCAGGAGGAATTCCAGGAACGGTTGGTGGTGCTGCTTATATGAATGCTGGAGCAAATGGGCAGGTACAGCTGGTTTTTATTTCAGAAAAAAAGATGAGAAATGCTATAATTTCCATTATCAGAATCAGTTTATGACGATAAAAGAAGAAATTCTTTTATTTGATACTCATGTTCGCACGACTTGTTTTTTGGAGCTGCAGAATGTTGAAAACCAGAAATTTTGATAAATGGAATTGCTAAATTTGTCATTGATCTTTCATTTACATTGTAGGAAACTGCTGATTCTATTGATTGCGTCGAGATTATCACATCTGAAGGAGAACATCAGATGCTGAAAAAAAGTGACCTCGCCTTTGGCTACCGATCATCGCCATTTCAAAATATGGAAGACTTTGCAGCTATCACTGCTGTAACATTCCGACTAGAGTTCTCGGAATCAGCAAGAAGACAGCAGCAAGAAGACTTGAAAAGGTAATCTTTAACTGCTAATATGTTTGTCGGGTTAAATACACTGGTGTACATTTAACAAAATTTCACATTGGTCAGTCAACTTAGACTTCTTAAAATTTGGTCCTATCTTTTTAACTAATTAGAGATAAAGGTAACATAATAGTCTAGTTATTTGCCAATTAAGCTGCGAACTATAGTGCTACATTAGCTTTTCTGGTAAGTCAAACTAAAGTAAATTGACGGGATGACCTAACAATATCGAAGTTAAAGTTCATCGACCAACTCGAAACAAATGAAATTTAGTGATCAACATGATATTTTACTAAAATTTCTGTGACTTAAGTCACCTTTTAACCTATATGATTTCGTTTGCAGAAGGAAATTTACTCAGCCAGTTGGGGAGAGTATGGTTGGTTTTATTTCCTACAATGTTCGCACGACTTGTTTTTTGGAGCTGCAGAATGTTGAAAACCAGAAATTTTGATAAATGGAATTGCTAAATTTGTCATTGATCTTTCATTTACATTGTAGGAAACCGCTGATTCTATTGATTGCGTCGAGATTATCACATCTGAAGGAGAACATCAGATGCTGAAAAAAAGTGACCTCGCCTTTGGCTACCGATCATCGCCATTTCAAAATATGGAAGACTTTGCAGCCATCACTGCTGTAACATTCCGACTAGAGTTCTCGGAATCAGCAAGAAGACAGCAGCAAGAATACTTGAAAAGGTAATCTTTAACTGCTAATATGTTTGTCGGGTTAAATACACTGGCGTACATTTAACAAAATTTCACATTGGTCAGTCAACTTAGACTTATTAAAATTTGGTCCTATCTTTTTAACTAATAAGAGATAAAGGTAACATAATAGTCTAGTTATTTGCCAATTAAGCTGCGAACTATAGTGCTACATTAGCTTTTCTGGTGAGTCAAACTAAAGTAAATTGACGGGATGACCTAACAATATCGAAGTTAAAGTTCATCGACCAACTCGAAACAAATGAAATTTAGTGATCAACATGATATTTTACTAAAATTTCTGTGACTTACGTCACCTTTTAACCTATATGATTTCGTTTGCAGAAGGCAATTTACTCAGCCAGTTGGGGAGAGTATTTAGTGATCAACATGATATTTTACTTAAATTTCTGTGACTTAATGCACCTTTTAACCTATATGATTTCGTTTGCTGAAGGAAATTTACTCAGCCAGTTTGGGAGAGAAGTGCTGGTTCAGTGTTTCGAAACCCTTCGGACTCAAAGATTTCGGCTGCAGAATTTATTGAGAGAGCAGGATTAAAGGGGTATAGAATTGGAGGAGCCATGGTATCAAAGAAGCATGCTAATTTCTTCATAAATTGTGGTGGTGCAACTTCTCAAGAAATGCTTGAGCTTATTAGGTTGGTAAAGGGGACAGTTTTTGAGGGATTTGGTGTAGAACTCAAGGAAGAAATCTTGTATGTGCCATTTTGTAAAGATAAAATTCCAAATAGAGATAGTAAAACCAGTTTTGAGAAATGATTGAGGAAGAATATAATTTTATGTTCTTTGGAAAAACAAGCTTTATGGACTCCTTGTTTTTGGGTTATGCTATCTCCCCTTTCTATTTTCATAGAGGGTTCGTGATTTTTTAGTTCTCAAAATGGTGCAATGACGATCTCTTAGTAAGCTTAATCTGCTTAATTCGATTCAATATTGTGCACTAAATACATGCTTGATTGTGTAAAATGGAATCTTTTATGATTATGGCGCAAAATGAAAAATATGAAAAAAAATGTTACTGCCCAGGATCGAACTGGGGACCTTCAGTGTGTAAGACTGACGTGATAACCACTACACCACAGTAACGGGTTATGATTATTGCGTACAATCCCCATATAAGATACAAATTAATTAATTAATGCATACAAAAGCAAGTTTAAAATGGGGATAAAATAAGGGCTAAATGTCTAAATAGATTGTGTTAAGTAATGCCATTCGTACAATGAATTTGTTTGTGCACATAAATGTTTGGAGTTACAAAGTGTTCGAACTTGATTTCGGTGTAGCTATCAAAAAATAAAAAACGTATGTCTTTATCAATCAATGGGATCTTAGGTGCAATTTCTTCAAACAAAGCGATCCATAAAGACGAAAGAAAAAGAATGGCAAACTTTCATCTAAGAGGGCGAAACCACAATCAAAATTGTAGTTATTGTGATAGTAACGAAGATTATCGTGATTGTGATAAAAGAAACAATTGGATAATGGCCAGAACTTTGTGGCCAACTATCAGATTGAAGTCAATGTTGTGACCACAAGAGTGAAGAACGAATGTATTTAAATATGTCAAATTCAATGTTATTTTGTTAAGTCTATTTGGAAATCTTGGAAGTACTCGATTGCGTCTTAATTTTGAGGTGAACCAACATGTCAAAATTACTTGAACTCCAACTCCCGCCTATGGATCAGACAATCCGATTGTAGGGATGGTCTGGCCCGTAGCATTTCCCAGCTTGGTAGGGCCTTGCTATGCTTAAAGTGTAGGTTACCATGTTTCCTTAACTGGAGCCACACTGCACATCAACAATTGTCCTTCAAGGCACCAGCGTTCACGGAATTCGGGACCATCCCGAGAAAGTTGCATTACACTCATCCTTAAAAAAAAAAAAAAAAAACAAAAAGTTGATTTTGCTTGCTGAACTCACCTCCTATCAATTACATTCCGGCGACCGCCATGATCGGAACTCATCTCCTATCAATTGCCTATCACCAAACGATCACACTCATGCCAACAATTTACAACAAACATCAACAAAAGAAAAAATTAATTTCATGCCAGATTCTTTGCCAGTCGCAACACAGCCTGCGAACTTCTCAAATATCGGCGTCAGAAAAACCCATGTCGCGGACCACCTGGGCTAGGTCACTCTTCGCCAGGCGCACCTAGCCCAACCATGGGTCTAGGTCAATTTCGACACGAAGCCGTTCAATTCGTGGGAGAAGTACTATGTTCCAAAAATTGTAATTGGATTTCGAACTGAAGTTCTAACGAATTCAGGCAAAATTGTGGAAGACCCATGGGTGGAATAGATTCACCATGANGAGGTCATCTGGGTGTGGGCAACCGAATGGGTGTGGCCCGTGATCCTGTTGCTGGCCGGAGGTGCGACTTCTAGTAATTTGTCCATTTTTCTAGTAGCTGATTGTGCTTGTTGATTTCTGCCGAATTATTGGATGATATGGGGAATTCTTAGGATGGAATTATAGAGGGTGTTGAGGAGATTGTGTTGGTATCAATGTCCGAAGGTTGTGGTGGTGGAGAAAAGTAAATGTAGTCATCAGACGGTGGAGGGAGGTGGAGGAGAAGAGAGAGTGTGTTTTTGTTATTTTTAATATTTTCATAAGTTTTGGACTGATTTGCATTTTTTAAAAAGTTTAGGAGCTGATTGCAATTTTTTTAATTTATTTATATAGGAGGGTATATTGATAATTTTATATTAAAATGGGTGAAAAGGACGTTCAGTGCAAAGAATGTGAAAGGTAGAGACGTTTCGTGCCAAAAAAACGAAAGATAAGGACGTTTTCCACAAAAACCTTCAAAGGTAGGGACGTTTTGCACCAAGTACCTTTATTTTAATTATTGGTTCAACTTTTGACCATTTGACATTTGAATTTTGCTATTTGTACACCCTGGTGTATGTTGGAATTTGGTTTTGAAATATTGAAATTTGGTTAAGTGATAAAACCAAAACTTTGAAAAAGTGACTTTCGTGTCAAATTCGANAAGTGATAAAACCAAAACTTGGAAAAAGTGATTTTCGTGTCAACTTCAATCAAATATTCGAACTTGATCTGATGGTCAAATTATAAAAGTAAATAGACCAACTTATTCAACTCATCGAGTAGATCGTCGTGGTATATTTAGAATTTCAAATGAATGAAAAATTGCAATTCAAACTAACAAAAAAGTCACTATTTTTATCGCTCGAGCAAGGCGATGACGATAGGCTAGCAAAGGTGAATGGTGCAACCTTAGGCAAAAGTTGTTGAGTTTGGGGCTCGACATTTCATTTATAACCTCTCATGCTCTATATATAGGACCCCTTGGACGTCCCTTTTGCATTCCATATCATATTTGCATTGAGCATTGCATAAAAATTCTTGCAAATCACTTTCAAATTCATTCAAACCGTTTTCTTCTTTGTAGAGAGAAATTCCGTCTAAAGTTCGTCGTAACATGTGGTTTGAAGTACTTCTACCCCACAAGTTGAATCGTTATATTTTGGGAGACAAGTGCCGTGAACCGTGAGCACTGTTGTGGGACAATTTTGTCTTAAAAAAAAGTGAAAATCACTTGCCTTGAATTGTTGTTGTTGTTCTTCTTCTTCTTTACTTCTTGTTTTTTGGTTTTTCGTTTGTAGTTTACATACTATATTTTTAATCCTTATTATATAGTTTAATCACGTTCATGCGGATTAAACTTTGCTTTTTGTTTATTCGATATACAACAACCCTTTCACCCGCACTTATACTTAGCTCGCATCGTCAACAATGTACAACTCCCTCACAATAATGGGGCTCGCGCCCAATAAAAAAAGCGCGAGCCCCCCGATTGTAAGGGAGCTGTACACTAGGGTGTCTATACATAACTTCTCGGAAAATTCCACATGTACATAAAATTTGGTACATATAAAGAATTATTCTAACATCTCTCTTTACATTTTATTTTTTTAGCTGATCGAAGATTATAATATTCCCATTTTGCTGTCAACTTCTTTCACATCAAATTGTCTTGAGAATAAATGAAGTGAAGAAATCATTCGCCGTTTACTTTTCAACGTTCAAATAACTTTTTCCTCTTAATTTGATCTAATACTACCAAACAAGGTCTCAATACACCAACACCAACTTGGAAAAAAAACCGCCGCCCACATATTCATTGTGCAAATTGTGCACGCCCCTTGTAATTAATTAACAAGATTAGAACAAGTTGCCAAATTAATTACAATTATCACCAATGAAAGAATAGAAAAGAGTTATAAGAGGATGTTTGGCTAAAGCCTGAGAAAAAAAGTCAAAAAAGTCACTTTAAAAGTGTGTTTGGGGCACATTCTTTTGAAAGAATTTATTCTTGAATAATAGATTGATGGAGAATTTGTGGTTAAAAATGAAGGAAAAGTTATTGATGTGATGAAAAATATTATTTTATTGAAGAATGTGTGGTTGAAAATGAGTAGAAGAATGAGAATGAAAAAAATAATATATACCAAACTTATTCTTGAATAATAGATTGATGGAGAATTTGTGGTTAAAAATGAAGGAAAAATTATTAATGTGATGGAAAATATTATTTTATTGAAAAATGTGTAGTTGAAAATGAGTAGAAGAATAAGAATGGAAAAAATAATGTGTACCAAACAGGGCTTTTGTCCTAGACTAGAACATCTCTAAATAATCAATATTTTAAAAATCAATTTGATCATCAACATAGGAAAAAAAAAGGGTCAAGAATCAAAGGTTAAACCGTAGTAAAAAGAAATAAATATAAGCAAATCTCAAAGGGTTAAAGAGGTGAATCGGTAGGATTGGCAAATATTGTTTTGGGTTTTTACCCCGTACGAAATATTTTTTCTGTTGAATTGTCCGATGTTGTTCGTTTTTTTACAACATTGTAAATATCTTGCTCTTAAATAGCAAAGTTGTTTTTTGAAATTAACTCCTAATGATAAAGAAATTCAAATGTTTTGCTTTTGCTCTCGGAAGTAGGTTTGTCCGAAATGCTATTCTAGTTGGTTAGTACTCGTGAGTATAGTCGAATGTGAACAACTACTTCTCAAGAAATACCGCTTGTGGATCAGGTATCTTAAATGAGGTTATTATAATATGGACCATATTACATGTACATATAAATTGATACATTGATTTACACCCACGTGAGTTGGCAGATTTTGTTACATTGATCTTTACAATACATTCTTCAATCAATTGTCAAATTTTTGACACATATGGGTGTCAATCAAAGTGTATATTTTGTGTGTACAAATATTTTAATCCTTATTATCATTGTATGTGTATACAACCATTGTTTGAGTCCCATTTTTCAAAAATACATTTTTCTTTAAACTCATTTTTAAATACACATTATACCATAAAATAATTTAACACGTAAATCAAAATATTTTTTTATTTATTAACCACACGTTCTCCATAGAATCACCATGATTAAATTTATTTATCCCAAAGAATGGGGCTCAAATATTTAAGGATTCACTTGGATTTCAACGAGAATTTATCTTAAAGTAATAACTGGTTGACCTGTTTTCTATTAAACCGCAAAGAACTACTCAAAATAATTCAAGGCATTAATTTTAAACACAAGTTTTTTTTAAAACCAAAACCCACTTTTCACTTATAATTAAATTAACTTAAAAGTAAAAAGTACTCCTTTTAAGTTTACCTAAACATGTCATTTTATGACATGAACAAAATCCGACCTTATGGGATAAACATGATGCAGATCCTAGATTGGACCTGTCACC